ATTCTAGGATTAATAAATTATGAATTTATCTTTCCGTTGCATAGTCTTAGAACTAGGTTAGTGCCATGGTGGAAACCGTGACAGTAGGCTAAGGAAATCAAACAAACAACCTCTCAATTCAGTCGATTTTGGACAGAAAGAGAGTAGAGGAGAAAGAGAGGGGGGAGAGTAACCAACACACGTAGAGTTTGGAGACACACAGGACCAAGTACTGAGCACAATATCCGAGCCAAAACATAGTGAGTGGTTTTGAGTTGAGTTTGTGAGATTCAATTCTCATGTTTAATGGTGTAGATTAGTATTTCTGCAAGGATTTAGGACCTAAGGATGTTTAGTAATAAATGAGTAGCAATTGACATAAAAAGCCGATAAAAAAAACTAGACATAAGAAATAATGATTTAGAACGCACCCCCTGAACTGACCGATCCGGTGAACAGATCGATCGGTCCAGACATATAAATGGAACGTACCAAGTACCTGTCTAGATCGGACGAATTGACTCAAATGGATTAAAACGGTAATATGGTGTTAAATGGTATTTAAACGAAATAGGATAAAATAAGGGTGAACAAAACGTGAAAAAGGTAAAAGTAAATAGAAGAAAGGAATTAAACCGAAACGAATACGAAGGGTAAATCTAAGAGAAGTACTCGGAATTGCGATATAGAAATAACGGATAAATAATTATGATTATGCATGTGATTGAATGATTAAGGAACCCCGTACTTAGTACCGGTTGACGGCGTGAGTCAGTGCTAGTACGGGGATGTGTGGATTTAGAACCAGTGCCGGTTGACGAACTTGGAGTCAGCACTGGATGATATGTGGTTTCGGTAATAGTACCGGTTGACGAACTTGGAGTCAGTACTATTACCGAAATGGAATACCAGTACCGGTTGACGATGTGGAGTCAGTACTGGTATAGTTGGGTGGACGTTTCTGGAGCGGTACCGGTCGACGATGTGGAGTCAGTACCGTTAAGAAAATGTGTAGTGAAGCCAGTACCGGTTGACGGCGTGGAGTCAGTACTGGTGGATCTGAGTGGTCGTCTTTATAATAGTACCGGTTGACGAAGTGGAGTCAGTACTATTATAGGGAAGCAGGGTAAAGTCTAGTACCGGTAGACGAATTGAGTCAGTACTAGATGATACCGAAAGGAACGGTACTTGATAGTGTCAGTGGACGACTTGAGTCAGTACTATCAGGTATCGGAAAAATGTGTGAAATAATGTTAAAGTGTTAAAAAGATAAGTGAGAAAGGATTAAACGGATTAAAATAATTCTTGCATTGAGAGATTAGTTGGCACCGTTCTCCATGAGAATGGGCTCTCCGGGCTCAACCCGGGCTGCTCACTAAGCTTTTGCTTAGCCCTCCGTTGTTGAATTTTTCAGATCCCGAGGAGCACGAGTAGCGCACTGTGGACGACGATAACTTGTGAAGACATCATTTATGTACGGTTAATTAATCATGTTTTCGTACGTTTTGGTTTGGGGAACAAGGTTTTGTGTGGAACAGTGTGTTTAATTATGTGTTTGGACAAGTGGTTTGCAAGAAACGTGTGATGGTTTATTTCCGCTGCGTGTGGTGTTTAAAAATAATTTTTAAATTCCCGTACTTTTGGTTGTTTTATGTTTTATCGGTAATTGTCCATGTGGTATATCCTGTACACGGGATGCGGGATTCGTGTGTCACAATGCGGTTGAAAATTCCGTTGGAATTTTCCAACGGATATCGGTTAGAAATTCCGTTGGAAAATTGCAACGGATTGCGGTTGGAAATTCCATTGGAATTTTCCAACCGAAATTGCGGTTGGAAATCCGTTGGATATATCCTGTACACGGGATGCGGGATTCGTGTGTCACAATGCGGTTGAAAATTCCGTTGGAATTTTCCAACGGATATCGGTTAGAAATTCCGTTGGAAAATTGCAACGGATTGCGGTTGGAAATTCCATTGGAATTTTCCAACCGAAATTGCGGTTGGAAATCCGTTGGAAAATTCCAACGCAAAAATTCGTTGAAATTCTGTTGAAAATTCCAACGGTTTTCCAACGGACACCGATTTCTAACGACGAAATTCCAACGGATAAATCCGTTGGAAACGTTAATTTCCAACGGATTTACCCGTTGGAAATGACCATTTTTTTGTAGTGTTAATTAAACCTATTTTTTTATTTCGGTGTAATCAAATAACCGAAACCGATCGGTTATTTACCCGAACCGAACCGATCCGATCGGCTATGTGATTATGATAACCGATCGGTTATTTTTGGAAATCCGATCCGAACCGAAAACCGATTAATCGGTTCGGTTTTACCCGAACCCGATTAACCCGATCCGGTTGCCCACCCCTACATATATTTACGTATAAATATTTTTATGTGTATATATTTCAGTAATTTGCTTGACCCTATATCGTCTCTGATATATATATATATATATATATATATATATATATATAT